TTGGGTGTTTTCTACACCTGTGCACTGCAGCTGACACAAACCACAGTTCATTTACAGTGGGGCAACAGATTTATTAGGCAACAGGTGCACAATAGAGCAAAAATGACTTTTACAGATTTCTGTCAGATTAATTAATAACAAACATTAACATAGGTGTACCTAGACAAAAGGTTGTACTTCCTTCACACAGTGATCTTGTGGCAGAGAACTGGGATGGGCAGCGCTTAGCAAATTAAAACAGCTCCTGGAAGAAAGCCAAGCTCGTTGGCTGCTGAGCCCGGTAGGATCCATCGCGCAGGCCGAGACATTGGCCGCTGGCACCACCTCTGCATCCAAGCGAGCAAGCTGAGCCCAGAGGGAAACGTCAGGCACAGATACTGGACCACAACAGAAGATTTTAGATTTAAAGGGGGAAAAAAAAAAAAAAAAAAAAAAAAACAAGCAATGCATCATCTCACTAACAAACATTTCCTCCTATCAGACAAGGAGGGTATAAATACACTAACAGGTTACCACAAAGTAAAAAGCACAAACCAATGAGGTATCAAATCCTATTTGGTAACTACTGGATGTAACAGGAAGAATAGATGGGACATGACTATGGAGGACCCACTTGCACCCCTCCTGGGAAACCTGCAGGCTCTATTATTGCTCTGAAATGCCTATACGCAGAGGAATAAAAAGGAGGATTCAGAGATGTGTGGGCAGACACAGGGTGCCCACGCAGGGCCATGATCTCACTGTGGCAACAGAGCTCCGCAGGGACAGCTCACACAACTGGAAGGCCCTCATGGAGTGCTTTGTGCTTCTTAGGAAAGGCAGGCCGGGAAGCAGAGGTGGGAAACTGCTCTTCATGTGGGGGAGCAGCTGGAACATACTGAGCTCTGCCTGGGTGAAGAGTGAGCTGAGAGCTTATGGCTGAAGATCAAAGGGGAGACCCTCCCTAACACAAGAGACACTGTTGTGGGTGTTCACTATGGGCCACCTAGTGAGGAAAGGGAAGCAAATGAGGCTGGAAGTAGCTGCACAGTAGCAGTTCCCTGTACCCCTGAGGGACTGCATTCACAGCGCAGCCATCTCAGAAGCTGTTCAGCTTTTCCCAATACAGCAGCTACACGAAGGGCTCCTGCCAGCACGCCAGGGACAGATCAGGCGCTTGGCCACGGCACCTATGCCTGGAGAATCATCCAGCGCAGACTTAGTCTGGGGAAAAACAGGATGTTTCAGCAGCAGGTAAAACTGAAGCCTGAACTGCAGGCAAATCAGGAAAATGCTTGAATAAAGAACAAGGAAGGTTTTAGACTGTAGGCATTTTCAGATGTCTAGAGAACAAAAAAAAACAGCAGAAAATTCAAGGTGGTCTCTTCAGAATCACAAAACAACATCAAATGCACACAGAAGTTGACTCAATGAAATACACACACATGCACAAAAAACAAAAAAGCACCTCAGTTCTGGTTTACATATATGATTAAAAAAAAAACAGTTACCACAAACCCACGCACACAGCTGCTGGTGGCCTATTCTTTGTTGATCTATATGTTTCCTAATAGACTTCCCATTTGTGTTTAAATTCAGTCACATTTCAAATACAAACCCACAGAGTGATGAAGATCCAGTGATTCATTTTAGATATAAAAAACACATTGATAAAACAAAACAAAACAAACAAAACCCAAACAACACATCAGTGCATAAGAAAGGCAGACCAACACAAGGCAGGTACCTAAAAATTAAAACACCTGTAAAGATTGTATTTTGAGTCAAAGGTCATAGGACCATAATATCCATAACTGAACAGAATCTGTGTGAAAACAGGAAAACCCCATGACATAATCTCTTTGGATATGAGAAACTGGGAAGCAATCCTCCCTTCCAGTATAAACCAGTCAAGGAGTAGCTGCAGTCACATTAACTTTCCTGCTGCAGCCCTATTTTGACTATTGTCTCATCTGATCAAGCAAATCTGACCCATCTTCTACAGCTTTCTCAAGTTATACCTCCTATCTCTACACAGCATGCAGTGACACTTGAAGAGTGTCTGGACCATATCATTCATCCCTATACTTTTTCTTAGAGGCATATAATCCTCTAAAAATCTGAATGCAGCAATCTAAAATATCCAGGCATTTTGACATTTTTGAGTTAAAGACAGGAAAAAAAGGCTGACTTGGTTCCTCACCCAGTCCGTTTGCCATATCTAAAACTTTGAAGGTGTTTGCCAATTGTAACGCCTCAACAACACGATGCTCCCGTTAACACACCTACGACAGCATCTCAGAGATATTTTTCCATCCACACGCACATAAGACAATCACGGGCTCGATTTTAACTTTGTCTTACCCCCTTTTGTTCCTATTTCTGTATAGGCAATTTTACGCAAAAATTCTCAGGGCGCTTATCCGCGTTCGGACAAAGGCGAGCTCAGAGCACACAGCCATTAAGCAGACCCTGAAGTCTCAGTTACTTTAACCTTTAAAGAAGATCTGGATAGACACTGGAAGACCAGGAATATCTCGGGCTCGCCCAGAGTTGCTCGGGCGCTTCTCCGAGGCGGCCCCTCGCGGCCGTTAAGCGGCTCCAGGCACGAGCGCGCCGACCACCCGCCCTTCGCCCCGCGCTGCTCCCAGCGCCCCGGGCGCCCGTTGGGGAGGGGCGACCGCTGCGCAAGGGCGGCCCAACG